ATATCATTCAGTTTGTATCACTCGAAGCTATTTTGTCTTTGATGCTGGTGGTTACTTCGAATCTGCAAGAGCAATCAAAGTGCAAGTACAATGTGCTCGTATGCAAATGTGGACATAGGTTGAAGCAAGTTGTCGCACTCACGTGAATGGACTATTCCAGAAATCCCTTTCCTATTGTAGTCATTGTAGTCGCGCATTGTAGTAACTATCCCTAAGTTTCGATAGATACTCTTATATATGTATAGAGAACAATGATTATTCTTTATCGCATTATAATGTAATTAATATAATGGAAGCATCAAACGATTAAATGAATAAAGGAGTTGAAGTTATTATCATTAAGTACATTTTAATATGTCTTTCAAAGTATTCCCGATTTACTCTGCACTATCAGTAATTGTGACATTGATTAAAGGCTCAATTTATGTTTCGATGCTGCATCGTTTGCGAATTATGACCGATAATTAATTTACATGGTTAAAATTTTAAGTTGCATTGTTAAAATTTCTAATTGATAGCAGGCGAATCAGCAATTTGTAATTAAATTCCATTGTTAAATATAATTATGCTTTGTATATTTAATACAAAAACATTTTAAATAGGTATATTTAAACTTTAAACAGTCTTGGAAAGTATCCTAATTTGAGTTTTTCAGTTTAAGCTATTCAGTTTAAGCTATTTCACGAACCTTATTTTCTTCTTTAACAATATATTTTTTACTGTTTTAGCACATTTTAATTTTAGAAATTTATCAACAAATATATAATTTATTTTGCGATAGTAATGTATGTAATAATGGTAATTGAATTAAAATTAATTATTTATAAAAATCTTTACGAGAGTTGCTAAATGATTTAAATTATGCTATGTAAAAAATACCAAATATATTTTTTAAAAACACAGTGTAGGAGAAACTGGTACCTAGAAACATGTTGTATCTTGGGACACATTAATTATTTTTTAACAGTAACGAGATTTTTAATATTACCAGCTCAGTTATACTTCAGTTATCATTTGTTTTTAATCTAAATAATTACGTGTTCTGTACAGTCGTTTAGCTTTTACCGACGAAAGTTTGTTTCTTCTTTGTAAGTATTTTTTGTGTATATTTTTTTCTCTAATTCTTTTGCAAATTTTTATGAGAAATTTAAATTTATTATAAGATTCTCTATGTAATTTTTTTTAGATATTATTTAGCATGTTTGAAAAGTTGCATTTTTATTTCTATTTCAGTAGTCTTATATTTTAAGCAAAATTGTTGTACTTAGAGACGTGTGTACATAAGAACTCGTTTAACATCTTTAGGATGATATACTGGGTACAATATTTTTTACTTTTTTACCTTCTCTACGTTTAATTACTTTGTTGTATTTTATAAGGCATTGGTTTTATGTTGCAATATTAAACGATTAAACTTTTTCATTTATTTATTACAAACATTTGTTTAAAATTATTTTTATTATTAATTATAACTAATAGTTTAATTATGGTCGATTCAAATAGAATTAAAGTTGTTCTTTTCTATAAATTTGTGTTTTATTTTATATATCTTATAACACATTGTCCCTTATAGGCACAATTATTTTTTTGTATCTATAAGGAATGATTTATCAAAAGAAATTGTTATTATGAAACAGAGATTAAAATATTATTCCAAAATGCTATAAATGTTTATTTAAGTTATATACAGGGTGTTCCATGGGAATGTGTTGAAACTAATCAGCTGTCATTTTCGAAGGTATTCAGTTATTGAAAAAACAAAAATTGCGCTGAAAAGAGAAAAGTCTGCAATTTTTAATGAGTATAAATAAAATTTAACAAAATGTTTGTGTATCAATTAATAATCAAATAAAGTACACTTTTTATGTAAAAACTCATGCTATAATTATAAGAAATAGGTATAGTATTTTCGGGAAAGATACAAGTAATATTCTCACACGTTGCTAGTTTATGCAACAACATAAAGAAAACGATCACATATTTCCTGATGACATTTCGCGATGATGGGTCACTTGCATATGTATAAAATATATATCATGTATATATATTATGTAAATATCTCTCTATATATATATATAAAACTAAAATTTATGGTGCAATATTCATAAAGGTTTGCCCGAAAAGCAGAAGCGCTAAACCGCGTTTCACGCTTGGCAAGCGATATACGCCGGCATGGTATGGCGTTATTCATATTTGAAGGAAATACGCTGACCGGCATGTATAAGAATCGTGAAATTGCTTAGCATGGAATATCGATATAAATTTGTGATAACTCGCTGTTCTAAGCTGCATTTATTATTGAAAGAAGTCAAAAGCTGTATCAAAAATTAATTTAAACAAATTTATTTTCGTTATTCCTAATATAACTGACATATATATATATATATATATACACAACAGTTTCTTCTAGTATAATATCAAGCTCGATCAAATGTATCTCACTAAGGATATAATTAATCACGATTGTTTATCGCGTAGGAACGAAGCATACCAGGCCTTTCCAAGGAGCATTGGTAGAGGAGAGAAAAAGGAAGGGGCTGAGGGAAAAACAAAATAAAAGAGGAAAACCGCTGGCAATTTTTCACTAGCTTTTTAAAGCGCGGCTTAGGTACTCGTGGAGCGAGTTTGAATCGATTTTTCCAGAGGGGAGAGAGGGCCCATTTTTCTACCGTCTTCTTGTGCCAAACGGCGCAAACTGTACCTACCTCCAGCTGTTTCGCTGCTGAACATGGTTGTCGCTCGAAGGCCGAGTTTAGATTGGAATCTGAAATTTCGATACCTCGCACGGCGATTCTCCTTTTTTTTCCTATCAAGCAATACTCGTGAAGTTTCGTGAACGCAGAAGTGGTGCATCTGCATGAGCCAAGAATAAATCAGGATGCGAAATCCGAATGGAGATTTCTTGCCGCAAGAGAAACGGATACGAAGATCTATGCTTTAGAAGAAGCGATTCTATCTTTACGATTTTTACGGATTGAGATTTTTAATTCGCGAGAGAGAGATGATAAAGTACGAAATGATAAGTTATTATTAACATAAATATTTTTCCAGAACAATATTAGTGCAAAACAAATGTTTAGACAGTAATAACATGAAATAGCTGTAGCTACATTTATTTCGTCCACTTTTACGATGTATCGTTGCGCGAAATCGCGATACTGTCTCTGACTTTCGTCACGTAAAATCACAGGGCGTAACATACTGGTTTGCAGATACAATCGATGTAGAGCGCGGACTTACTGACACTTCGCATGCTCGCAAAATGCAAGCTCAATATGTTCCTTTTGTTTTGCTCACGTAATTTCCTTGCGAAATCGAAGTTCTGCTGCTGATTATGCCTATTCTTAGACTATCACGAATCCTTGGTGTAGGTATATGATAATTTACCTTTACAAGTGAAGGTAATTTTCATTATAATTAAATATCTGAGAGTACGTTAAAATTATACTTAGAAGTGTTTTTAGTTGTATCTATTTAATATAATAAAAGTAATTATTGAAAAATTTTAACAATAATTAAGAATTATAAAGAACTCATATTTCATAAATTCAAGAATAGAATGTAATGGAAAAAGTATTATAATTTCCATTATTCTATTCTTAAATTTGTGAAAAATTTTTAATACCTATATCGAAAATACAAAATCATAGCATTCCTGTTTAATTATTATTTCGAATTGTGTTGACACTGCTATAATAAAAAGAAAATCTTAAGAAGGGAAGGAAACGTCTGAGTTTTTATCTATTAATTATCAGTCAGTTGTGCTGAACTTACAGAGGATTTATGTTCTTTAAATGCTGTCTATAGAAATGTGTCAAATTAGCTCCTTCGCTGGTTTCTGCTGCATAAATGCACGCGGCTTAGCGTTACTGGTTTACCAATACAATCGATCAAGACTGCGGAGATTGACGCAACTTCACCTCCAGCTCGCAGCTCAAGCCCGACTTCGAAGGGTATCGGTGCTTGCGATATTATCGTCATGCATCTATCGACCGGCAAGTTTAACGGAGCGCAAGGTCGCAGGACTCGTGGTAGCTGCCGCGCGATCGCAGAGATATGCGTTATTATTGTTCGCGTCGGTGCATCGTGAAACGTCGGACGATGATGGAAAACTCGTAAAACAGCTCAGTTAGGACGAGAGGGCGAGGTCGTTAAAAGTGTAATAAACTTGAGCAAGCCGGTTGATAAAACGAAATATTCCGGATTTCCTTCTATTGCAACTTCTAAGGATTTGATTATGTCTATTTATTGTCGGCACTGACGTTTTCCAGAGTGGTGGCTTTTCTTCAGTAAAGCCGTGGGTTAGTATTGCATTTTTATAAATTGCATTTCCGGAAGCGTTAAGATTGTGAATGATATTTGTGACTTCGCAACAGTACTCGTGAGTCTTCAATATAAATATTATATTACTACTTAATTACTAGTTGATTGTGTAATATAAATATGTAATACTTTTTACATTTATATATAGATATCAGTAGGATAAAGAGAGATGTTTCAATGTATGAGGCATTTAAACAAATTAAATATTCTGTATAGCATTGAAGGTTTATACTGTTTATAGTATTTTTTAACTGATATTTTTATATCAGGTATATAAAAAAGAAGATAAAATATTCAAAGATTATTAAATATTCCTTTGTTAAAATATTTAACGACGTTAAAATGTATTGTTTTCTTCTTTTTACTGCAAGTGCAAATACTACTTCTTAAGTATTTTTTTAATACATGTATTAATGTGTTTTATAAAAATTTTATTAATTAATTATATATTTTCATTAACTAAACTTGCGAACAAAAAGAGTAATACGTAGATTTATATATTTATACTTGTAACATAAACTTATTGATTTTTATAAATCCAATACTAGATTATTTTGCATTTTTGAGAAGTCGTTAGTGATACCATGTTATCATTTTATGATGACGTTATATTATCGCTCATATAACTCTAGTAAAACGGTAAGTCGACTTTAATGAGCAAGATTAAGAGGACTTACGAGATCTCTCCGAAGGCTGAGAAAGCTTCCCTTAAGGTATGTGTCTCGATTTCCGGGCTCAGGTCTCCAACAAATATGTGATAATGTTCTGAAATAAAAAAGAAGATGATTAGACATATTTTAAAACCAGAATAATATAATACATTTTTGTTGCTGAGAAAATTACAATTGAAGAGAATAATGATTATATTCAAACATTATTAATTTCCGCAACGAGTACATGAACTTTAATGGATGCAAAACTAGATATGAAATATTCATTTCGTTATACTTGGTCCAAAATACATATCTCTGTGATTAAACTCCGCAATCAATAATCCAAAAATGTAGATAAAAATTCAGTAACTTGATAGAGAAATAATTAATGTATTTCTGTGACGTTCATTTAAAAATTATTGTATTTATTTCTACACAAAAGCAAAACGTAGAATCATTTAGAAAATCACGACACGATTTTAATAAAATTGATTTATTAAATTTAGCAAATTTAATGTAATGTAATTTTTATATTATGTATTTAACAATATTATTTTTTAAACATAAGATATCACTTTGCTATATTTATAATCGCAATACACTGAATAAATAACAAGTTTAGCTGTTTTGAGAATATCTCTTTATTAAATTGTTAATGAGCTCTTTCCTTCGTTAAAAGCGTGATGATTCTGTCTGAAATATCTGACATAATATAAGGAAAATGAAACATCGCAGAAAATTACTCTTAGCGCGAGAATGCTATTCAGGCAATCGAAGGTCTTTCATAATACATAAGATGCAACCTCTAAGATAGGCACTTAAAATAACTCGTCGAAGAATAGAAGTAAAGACAGATTCGTAATTAAATCATTTTCTGCATAAATACAGATGGTTAACGGTATATGATAAATAATTACTAATTGCAGCTGTTTTTGAACAAATGATACAAATCCTGGAATGTGAAATAGGGGATAAACTATTAATAAATAATTATTAGTCACAATCATTTTGTACGATTAACTATATATATTGCTATTCGAAAAACAGAATCCGCAAATTTGTGAAAATATAACGATTAATTATAAATTATTATATGGTTTTTATGTGTAAAACTGATAATAGCATGAAACAATACCGTTTCTCATTAAAGAAGGAAAATGAGAAATTGTAATAATATAGCTGTGTGTGTGATTACAGAATAACGTTATATTAAATAATATTATGCAAACATTTATTATTTTAGAAGTATTGTATTAAATTTGCAAACCAGTATATCGTATAATAATATGATATACGCTAATGTTATTCCATAAGATGGATCGGATCCTATGCGTTTGTATTAACCGCGTTTGCGTTCTTCACTGATCGAGACAGAATTGATATTGAGATTGCTTTGGGAGTTGTAGTAATTTTAATATGTAAAATGATAATATTATTGAATAGCAATAAATAATATTTGAGTTATCTAATGAAAGGCAATAATAAACTTATCAATTTATTACAATGCTAACTGGTTTTATATTCTTTAAATACGAATTTCTCATTCTTGCGAAAACTGCTTTGTTTATTCCATGTCTACTTAATATTCCCAGTCTAGGTAATTGCTACTTTGTTGCATATATTTCAATTATTTTAAATACTAACTTAACGGAGATTACTAGCGCTTCATTCAACCACCTTATCGAATTAAGCGCTAGTAATCTCCGTTAATCACACACGCTGTTTTTTTCACCCGCGAAAATCTATGCGATTCTATGGTTAGAACCGGTCGGATGAGTGCAACGAAACCGTGTGCGAAGTAAGCTTTACGGGGGATAAATTATCGATTCGCATACGGTCGTGCGGTCGAGTGCACGTCGCGGCGTTGCGGTACAGCCTCGCATCGGCTCGATAAAATATGCTCCTCTTCTCTGGTCTCTCGTTTCACCTTTCTCCTATCCACATCCTCTCTCCGACTCGATACGGTTTCATTCACGCTGATATGTAGGAATAGATCAAGACGAGTAGTCGAAAATCGAGTTATCGCCGGAAGGTCTCTACCAGGGGCATCAGTTACTCTGAACGGGATATGCCACCGTTGGAAAGTATAGAAGGATAAGATAGAAGTGGATTGTCGGAGACGGAGGGTGGTCTGATTACAATCGGTTTGAACGCCTATCCTTGCCGGTTGGAGGTTCCGGTGGGCACACACAGTGGTCCATTCTCGTGAATTAGTCCGATCCTCATCATCTTCCTTTTCGTCCAACTCAATCGACATCGTCGCATCGTGCCAGGATCTTGGTAGATTAGGATATCAACAGGAAATTGATGAAAGTTTATTTTGTTCATAGATGCCCCCGAGATTTTTACATAATTATCAACAATCACATTTCTTTTGATATCTTTTTAAAATTTAAGATCTAACGATGGAAAAAATCGAGAGTCGTCGATTCTCAAAACGAATTTATCTTTAATTTAATGCATATATAAAAATGTTATGTTTGCTTTTCACAATCCAAATAATATATCCAATATATCAATAGATGTTGCATGTTACGGCATAAATCATCTTACGTGTCGCATTTGCCTTTTGAAGATATAGTATAGTATATATGTATATGCAAAATTCTGATCTGTATGTGTTGATAAATATTTATAAATTCGTGATTAAATCCTTTTTACGCACTAATAATTTTAATGAATAATTCGATACTTGAGCGTTTTTTCTGTGATTATAAGAAAGGTTTCTTCGCCATTAATAAATATTGTTAAGGCAGAATTTCATGAAACGTCTTGCTTGACACAGTTCTTTTCATCCACGCTGCAGGTTTCTTAGTTGATTAAATTATCCATGCATTTTTCTTGTCTGCTGAATTTTTCAGCGAGCATCGCATTCATACAGCTCAAAAGGATTAAAAAGACTGAAATCTTTCCCGTGAATCAAGAAAGATCAAATATCACGTAATTTCACCAAAAGGGATCTTACACGAAAGCGGTTTTAGAATCGGTTTGCTTTCAACGAAATTTCGTAAAATCCTTCGAATTTGATATTATCTAGTAGTAAATAGTTGGCAAGATCCGATTTCGTAGGGAGAAGGTTTGTTGAAATATGGCCCGGGTGAATGCAGAAAAGGCGCAGCATGAAAAAGATGCCAGCATTAAAGGATCTCTGATGATGACGTCACGCGTCATGGTTCACCCACCGTCTGGTGGTTAAAACGTGGCCCACGGTTTTCAATAAAGTGGGACTAATGGAGCGCCATTTATTATTACAGCTCTCTCCATCTCTCCCTCGTTCCCTTTCACATGCCTACCAGTCGACAGAATGATGCTTTCATTTGAAATGAACGTTACTTCCATCATCGATGCTAGCGACAACGGTAATTTCGGTAGTGAATATAAAACATCATTCATTAGTGAATATCAAACATCGTTACAATTGTGACGTATTATCACATTTAAATGTCGATGCATTATGAAATAAGGTTACTAAAATCACGATAGAAGCAGCGCCTGCGTGCTATGCGTGTACGTATGCATGTTGCATGTTTACGACGTGTGTATGAAGTTGCATACGGGAAAATATGCTGAGCTAATAATAAGGGAAGGCCGTTTAATTTTGCATGCAGTGTCGCTTGAGTTTCTATATGAAATAAATTTCTTATTTAATACATGTATATAATTGGGAGAACAATCTATCGTATATTTTGAACGCGTTGTATGTCTTTTTGAACATTTACTTATTTGACATTTATTATATTTTTAAAGGTAATTTTGATATAGGTATATCGTGTGATACATATTTATATAATTTAAACATTTTATGTTAAAAAGACGATTAATATCATATAAAACGTATCACATCAAACTTGATAAAATCGTAGACAAATATCTTGGTATTGATTGAAAAATTGAAAAATTAATATAATGAATTGTACAATATGAGTTTATCCAATTAAAATTTAAGTCAAATTGTTTTTTAATCAGATAGCTAGTAAGTTTAAATTATTTTTATTGCGTTCTATAATTAAAATCTTGAAATGTATGTGTAAGACATATACAGGGTGTTACCGAAAAAGGGTGTTAACGAAAACAGACTTTAAGGGCATATAGAACAACAAAAAATAAGTCAAAACGTCCTAATAAACATGGGTCCGAAAATGAACGATTGCCAAGATATCTCTTGGTCTTTGTTTAAACAATATCCTTCAAATCGACTTAATAATAATGTAATGCTGAAAAACGCATTTACTGTTTATTTTTAAAAATTATTCTTATTTATTTTTATTATTCTTAAAGTACCTACATATTTGAAGAGTCCACCTTCCATATTCAAACAAGTTCTTTTTTGAGCGGGCATTTTTGAAAGAGTGAGGGCATCTTTTTTGAAAAGATGTAGAGATTGTTTGGATATAGAAAGGTGAACACTTCGAACATGTACTTTAAGAATAATGAAAATAAATAAGAATAATTTAAAAATAAACATTAAATACGTTTTTTTCTGCGTTACTATTAAGTCGATTTGAAGGAAATGTATTGTTTAAATAAAGATCAAGAGATATCTTAGCAACCGTTTGTTTTAGACCTATGTTTATTAGGACTTTTTGGCTTATTTTTTGTTATTCTTAAAGTCTGTGACTCTTTTTCGCTAACACCCTGTGTATAAGATCTTATCTAAATTAATTTTAATTATAGTAACAAAATTATGAACTATTACTCCCTACATATTCGTGTATATATCAATATCTTTTCCAAATATTAGCTACGTAATCTATAATTAAAAAAAATAAATAAAAAATTTTATTTCAAAGTAACACGTAGCATCGATTGTTATTTATAATGACATTTACAATGTGGCGCATGAAATGTTATCCATTCAATTTATAAATGTAACACATTTATTTTTAACAAAATTGGTACAGAACTGGTATAGTATTGATTACTAATGCCTGAAAATGCCTAAATCGTATTTCATAAGCCATCCTGTATAATTACAAATCCATATGAAAAAAAGATAAAATAATTTTCCATAAAATGTCATTCTGTATGTAGTACTAGATTTAAATTTATTCACGAAATTGTAGCATGTCTTTTGCGTGACAATTTCACGCGGATCGGGGACGTGAATAGATC